TAAGACAGGCATCTGTGTGGACTCCTGAGATATAATTACTCAGGAACTGGGAAGGGAACTAGGCTGGAACTTCTCACCTGAACTCTCTAGGCTGGTTATAGAGGCCATCAGCTCTTGGTCAGATATCTCAAAGTCTCCCTGTGTGACTAGTTCTTAAGGTGGCCAGAGTGCCACATGTTACCCTTTATCATGGCAGCCTCGAGGTAGGGTAACTTCTTATTTTTAATTATTTTATTGTTTTTATTGGGCTATATATTTTTGTCCGCTCTTCTCCCTTCCTCTTCCCTCCCCTTCTACCCTCTCTGTGGTCCCCATGCTCCCAATTTACTCAGGAGATCTTGTCTTTTATCCTTCCCATGTAGATTAGATCCATGTATATCTCTTAGAGTTCTCTTTGTAGTCTAAATTCTCTGGAATTGTGAACTGTAGGCTGGTTTTTCTTTGCTTTATGTCTAAAAGCCACTTAGGAGTGTGTACATATGATATTTGGCTTTCCGGGTCTGGGTTACCTCACTCAATATGATGTTTTCTAGATCCATCCATTTGCCGACAAATTTCAAGATGTCATTATGTTTTTCATTGTTGTGTAGTGCTCCATTGTATAAATGTACCACACTTTCTTTATCCATTGCTGGATCTTGAGGCAGGTTGTTTCTTGATTTTTTTCTAAAATATTGGCATATTGATATTTGAAATGGCTGTACCAGTTTGCACTCCCACCAGAAATGCAGAAGTGTTCTCTTTATCCCACATTCTCTCTAGCATAAGTTGCCATTGGTGTTTTTGGTCTTGGCAATTCTTACAGGTATAAGATGGAATCTCAGAGTTGTTTTGATTTACATTTCTCTGGAGGCTAATGACATTTCCTTAAATGTTTTTCAGCCATTTTAAAGTATTCTATTTACAGTCTCTGTTTATGTCCTACCCCATTTTTATTGGATTATTTATTCTTTTGGTGATCAATTTCTTGAGTTCTTAATATTTTGGAGATCAGCCCTCTGTCAGATGTGGGATTGTTAAAGATCTTTTCTCATTCTGTAGGCTGCTATTTTGTCTTTTTGACTGTGTCCTTTGCTTTACAGAAGCTTCTCAGTTTCAGGAGGTTTCATTCATTGTTTCTCTCAGTGTCTGTGCTGCTGTGATTATATTTAGGAAGTGGTCTCCTGTGCCCATGTGTTCAAGTGTGCTTCCCACTTTTTACAGATTCAAAGCAATGCCCATCGAAATCCCAGTAAAATTCTTCACAGACTTTGAACGAACAATACTTGACTTCACATAGAAAAGCAAAAAACCCAGGATAGCCAAAACAATCCTGTACAATAAAGGAACTTCTGGAGGCATCATAATCCCTGACTTCAAACTCTACTACAGAGCTACAGTGCTGAAAACAGCCTAGTATTGATATAAAAACAAACAAAAGGACCAATGGAACTGAATCAAAGACCCAAATATCAATCCACACACCTACACACAACTGATCTTTGACAAGGAAGCAAAAAATATAAAATGGAAAAAAGAAAGCATATTCACCTAATGGTGCTAGCATAACTGGATGTCAGCATGTAGAAGAATGAAAATAGATCCCTATGTGTCGACATGCACAAAACTCAAATTTAAATGGATCAAAGACCTCAGCATAAAAAAACTAATCTGCACTGCATAGGAGAACTTCTTATAGGACATCTGACTTTCCCCATAGGCAGTGTGTCCCAAGAAAATCAGACAGATATGACATAACCTTTCATGATCTCATTTTGAAAGTCACCAACTTTGTTTTGGCAATATTCTTTTATTTGCAGTCACTGGGGACTAGAATAGACTTAAATAGAGGGTCATGTCTATAATTTTTATGTTAATATGCTCTAGCATTTTTTATTATAAAAGTAATTTAATTTTGCTTTATTAGCGAGAAAAATCTAGAAGTTTCTACAATCAATTTATATGATAAGATGCTAGCTGCCTTTTTGTATGATGTTGTTTATGAGGGTAATCTTCATTAGCATAATATATAATAATAATGATCATTTACTTAGGACAAAGAAATAATATAGCCTGTTGGGTTTTGCCTTTCTATTCTTCACCTTTGAATGAAATTTTTAAAAATATTATGTTAAATAACCAAGATATTAAGCCAAGAGGCTACCTCTTGGGCAGAAAGGTCTTGTTCTTTCAAGCTGTGCACAGTAATTGCTCTAAATCATGTCTCTGCAGGAAGAAAAAAACAAACCTGTCTTCCTAGAGTTAAGGAGTAGAAGCAGGGAGATGTCTCATGTTTGGACCAGGTAGGGTTAAAAGAAATCTTCAGTCTGGGTTAGACTTCCTGGAATCCTCCTCTTGGTATACATGGGAAGAAAATGTAAATGTTTGAAAACGAATCAATTGAACATTTTTAGTGATTCATTTAAAATAATTGATATTGGTTCCCTGCCCTGTGGAAAGTCCAAGGTCCTCCCCCCTCCGTCCATGTCTAGGAAGGTGAACATCCAAACTGGCTAGGCTCCCACAAAGCCCGAACATGAAGTAGGATCAAAACCCCATGCCATTGTCCTTGCTCATTGGACTGGAGAGAGAGGGGGAGAGAAGTGGGGCGGAGGGGGAGAAGGGTGGGAGGAGGGGGAGGGAAATGGGAGGCTGGGAGGAGGGGGAAACTTTTTTTTCCTTTTCTCAATAAAAAAAAATAAAATAAAATAAAATAAATAAATAAATAATTGATATTGGTAGCTTTCATCTTGGAAATTAATTTTTAGAATTTTAAGGAAAGGAAAGGCATTTTTAGAAATTTTCTTGTAGAAAATTTTCTATTACTTTGTCATAAAAGCACAAGCAGGAGTCTTGAGATGGTTCATCAGTCAAGCACTTGGGAAAGGCTGAGAAATAAATAATTTCAATTCCTGAAACTCAAATAAAAACGGAAGGAGAAATAAATTCCACAAAGTCATTCTTTGAAATCCGTTATGGCACATGTGCCCTCCCCACCTCTCTCTCTCTCTCTCTCTCTCTCTCTCTCTCTCTCATACACACACACACACACACACTAAAAATAATAACAATAATAATTATAATAATACAGAGCAACAGAACTGATCATTGCTTCATGAATAATACATGCTCTAATAATTTTAGCTACTTTTAATATCATTTAAATTACTGCTTATCCTTATAATTATGGTAAACATTATTTTTATGTTTTCAAAGCAAGTGATATAAAAAATTTTATCATATACCCACCCCTTTGAGGTAACACACTAGCCGTAAATAAAAGCTCAAAACCCTGTGTCTTCTTTTTCTTCAATAAACAGAATAAAAATGTCTTACACTTACTAAATGCCACTTTTCTATCTGCCAAGTTGTATGTCTGTGCTTCCACAAACTCCCCATAAATGATGACACTGTAGTTTAGTGTATCTAGGAACACCAAATGGGTTTTTGTTTGTTCCTTTGTTTGTCTGGTTTTTATTTTGTTTTGCTTTGAGACAGTTTTTTTGATGTAGCTTTGGTTGTCCTGGAACTCACTTTGTAGGCCTTGAACTGCCTCTTTATCCTGAGGATTGGTATTAAAGGCATTTACCACCACTGCCTGGTCCAAATGGTTTTATTTCTAGTATTGATACACCAATGGTTTCAGTTTTCTGATCCTCAATAGTCATAATAATTTAGCAAACTTCTTGAGGGAATTCATTGTCCACATTATGATGAAGAAACTATGTTAGAAAATAGACAAAAGAAGACAAGCAGAGGCCAGGCTTGGTCTTTTACTTCTTCAACTAATAGATGCAATACTTATCTTTCAAATTCTTTTATATAAGACAAGGATACTTAGTTTGTGAAGTGACTTTGGGTACATATTCTGTAGTATGAAGCAAATGGTTTCAAAAAGATACCATTTTGTTCTAGTGTTCTGAGAACTCATGCCATTCTATCACATGTCTTTAATGGAAGGCATAGGATACTGAGTCTAATCACATTTTCTCTTATCAAAGCATTATTCTTCTGCAACAAACTACATTTTCTCCAGGTTTCAATAGTCAAAGAGTAATTAGAGCCAGTGAATCTGAGAAGAGACATTGAGAGTACGAGATATATTGAAGCAAAAAAAAATAAAAGTGAATGGCCAAAAAAAGATGGGTGTAATTGTTTTGAAAATTGCTTGATTTTAAAAAGGCCTTGAGGTTCAAAGGCACATGATAAAACCATGATCAAGTTCATGCCTGAGATAAAGATATGCAGAAGCCGTTACCATATTATTCATGTTCTTTGGCTGTGACTCCTTTACCTGATAACTGCCATTTCTCCTGAGTTCTGACTGCATGGATCAGCAATTACCCACAGAAAGCATAAGTGCCCTCTTGCTCCTAAAGACTTCTCTGTGGGTGAAATGAGGCTTCAGTAATTTATTCAATCTTTCATGCAGTGTGTGTGTGTGTCATGTGTGTGTATTTGTGTGTGTGTATGTTCCTGTACAGGTGTGCCTGTGTGTGTGCTTGTGCATGTGAAGGTCAAAGCGCAATCTTGAATCCCATTGCTCTGGAGTCATCCTCTTCCTCTTGGTGACAGCAGGGACTCTTCTTTGACCCAGAGCTTGTCAATTAGGCTAGGCTGGCTGGCCAGAGAGAACCAGCAATCCATCGCTTTCCATCTCCCTGTCTCTGGGAATAGAGCCCATGCTACTGTGCCTGGATTTTTATGGCAGTTTGGGGGATATAATTAGAGTCCTCGTGCTTGCATAGAAAACCTGCTAACAACTGAGCTGCTTCCCCAGCCACTTTCATTCCTTCTAAAATCATTCATTTACTGTCTTGGAATTCCACCTCTAACATGGCTTCTATTCTCACAGCAGTGGCTGGAATCCTTGTCAGGAGGTCTACACATGAAGGATAGAAGTACAAACACACAGGACAAAGACTCTTCTAGTTCCGCTCTCCTTGGTAGAGAAGTTGCTGGACGCTCGTCGGCGTTTTGCAGTTCGTAGTCTTTGGACTCCTAGTGTGTGAGGACCTAGGATGCCGCGTGGAAGCCGAAGCCTCTCTTCCCGGGTGGCCCCTCCGGCCAGCCGGGCCCCTCAGATGAGACCTGCTCCTAGACAAGCGCCTGCAGCTCATCTTCCAGCAACAGTGACTGAACCATCTGCAGTTGGCTCACCTGCTGCTGCACCCCGGCAACCAGGCCTGATGGCCCAGATGGCGACCACTGCAGCCGGTGTGGCTGTGGGCTCTGCAGTGGGCCACACCCTGGGTCATACCGTCACTGGGGCCTTCAGGGGAGGTGCCAGTGCTGAGCTTGCAAGGCCTGACATCACTTACCAGGAGCCTCAGGGAGCCCAGGTGATGAACCAGCAGTCTTTTGGACCTTGCTCTCTTGAAATCACACAGTTCCTGGAGTGTGCCCAGAACCAGAGTGACGTCAAGCTCTGCGAGGGCTTCAACAAAGTGCTGCGGCAGTGCAGAATTGCAAATGGTTTAATTTAATCAAGAAGTTTAAACTGAAGAAATTGAAGTGGGTCCTACATAATAGTGCATGTGTGGACCCTGAGCAAACTTATTCCTAACAGCTCCATTAGGAGTTCTAACTGTATAGATATTATTCCCTGAGGCTCATAGTGTTGGGGATTGGGTAAGTGTTGGCCCCCTTGAACCAACTGTATTGGTTTTTTGTGAGTTAACGAAAATAAAACTTTCATTCTGATAAAAAAAAAGACTCTTCTAAATGAGAGATGTTTGTACAACAATGGAATAAAGAATTTCTAGGAAGTGTCACTAGGCATAACATAAATAGGAGAGGATGCCCATGTTGCCATTGCAGCATGGAAGTATCTTACAGCAAAGGTCAGTAAGGAAACCAATATATATGAAATTCACATGTCATATAGTTCTGAAAGATACTTTAAATTAGAAGAAAGGCCTGGAATGGCATATTGTCAGCTACCAAGCTTCATTCATCTTGTATTTAAATTCCACTTTCATTTTGAATAGAACCCATGAAAAATTTGGAATTGTGACAATGGATAATGAGATCAATATATTAGAAAATGTGACAGTTAGTGAGATGATTCCTTGAGTAAAGATGCTTGCCACCAAGTCAAAGGATCTGATTGCAAGCCCACCTCTTGTAATAAGAGAGCTAATTTCCACATGTGAACTCTGATGTGTGCATGTTCACGCACACACACACACACACACACACACACACAAACACACACACACTCTTTAGCAAATAAACATAATTTTTGAAAGAGCATTGTATAATATAAGAGCTTGCTTATAAGGAAATCCTCCTGTAAATCTCATTCTTCTTCAGCAGAGGAAGGCATCCCTGAAGTACTTCATTTAGAGATTTCCTAAGCTACTATGCTTCCTTCATTCTAAATGTGGCTTTTGATTACTAAGCAAAAGTTCCTCCTGACTCAAGTGTTCCAGGCAGTGCCTGATGGCCCCTTCATCACCAAGAAATTCTCTTCCTGGTGTTGCCTTCTTTAATCTATGCTTTTCCTAAGTGAAGTAAGAACTTTCTGTCTTTTTCTGAGCATGTTAAGCATCTTTAACAAATTGAACCTAAAACTGCTAGTAATGACAGCTATTGAACAGATACAGCTGTAGATTTTATTTTTGTGCATTTTGATCACATTTTAAGGCCCCATTGAGCTGTGATATTCCTGTATTTACTAAATGACTGGGTTAGTGGCTCTTCACATGCAAACTTCCTTTGCCTCTGGCCTTCTTAAGACCAGAATCCATCCCCACTCTGTGACACTCAGGAAAGTCACCTCAGGCCTTCCCCATTGCATTTACTCCAGGCAATCCCTGGAAAGCCCTACTTCCATGCAGAGGAGAGCACCTCTTTCATTTTCTTCTCATTTTTCCTCACTTGGTCTTCCTTGAGTCTTGGAAAGGCCTGGGTTCCTGACAACAGGAATAGCATAAAGAGAACAAAAGATTCCACCGAGCAGGATAAAGTTCCCATAAATGGGCAAATTTATGTGAACGAAATCCTACGGGGGACTCCTTCAGCCGTGTGTCATCTCAGTCTTTATGGGAATTAGCACAATTTAGTGGATTGTGCTTGGGTTGACTGACAGCCAATGAGCCTGTGCCTGAATCTCTCTGACAGATCATCACCGTCAAGTGTAATATAATGGAAGGAGATGTTACCTGGGAGTCAGAAGGCCTTTGTTCCATACAGAGCCAACACGAACTTACTTAAAAAAATATTCAGGCATTACTTTTCTTCCTTGTGTATAGGCATACATGCCATACAGTCTACTCGGTGAGTTCGAAACCCGTCCCTTCAACCTCCAAAATTCAATTCACACTTAGTACACTTAAATTTTAATGTGAAACTGTAATCATTTCAATTCTATTTGGATTTGAAGGTTGTAATAACATTATTGAAGTTAAAATCAGTCACTAGGACAACTAAGGTATAAAGAGAATCCATTTGAAACCTGGTAAGAATAATCTATAATTAGCTATTTCATAAGTAGGCATGCTGTGGTTATCTTACTGCTATACATTTCAATACATTCTTATTCTTGGAAACTTCATTCATAGAGCAAAAGATATACCGAAAATTCCCCACTGTAAAGTAAGCAGCTTCTGTTTGTCACATTCACCTCAGATGAAGTCAGGTCCTTCTGCACAGCTTTGCATATTTGTGGATAAGTGCCAGACTCCACACCTAAGGTGACAATACACCAACCTCTGTCTCCAAGGTGTCTTTCCAGGGCTTCAACTTCCTCGCTGTAACTGAAGACAAAGAACAAACTCTGAGGACCCTGCACATTAAGTGCCTAGCAGCAGCCATGATGTCCAGGTGCAGTCTCTTTACACAGACTTTGCCTCCATTCCACAGAGTATCTTCTGCCTTCCAATACCTCTCTTGCAACTCACATTGCTATGTAGTTAGTCATTATTTTTACTCTAAATATCATCTTACAAATCTGGTTGTGGTATTATATTAGTGAATACAGGATTAAGCTTTTTCCATATTTACCAATGTATATCTAAGTACACTTTTTGGATATATATGCATATACATGTATATACACTATATAAATGAATTAATAAAAACATAAAACAATTTCTAAACATGTCTACACCTTCAGATGCCTTCCAACAACTTTTCTAAGAATCATTTCTGTCTGATGTGACCTTCAACCTTTCCCTTCATTCCTATTTACATACAAATAAGTCTGAAGATTTTTTTATGCCTTAAATATTTTCCATCTATGCAGCCTATGGCTCTGTCACAGTCTTCTACCATTCAGAAATATGAAGTATTAAAGAAAAACTTCTTTCACATTCATATGTCTTGTTTATTGCTTAAAGTAAAAGCTATTGCGCATAATATTTTAATTCAAATAAGAAAGAGAGAGAGAGGAAGGAAGGAAGGCTGTGGACAATGGCCATAGATATTGCAATGACTTGATAGAGACATTTGTCCATTACCTCCTGTGTTTGAAGTCCTGATCCCCAAACAAGACTGTGGAATTGTTAGGCAGTTGTACCTCTCCTGGGGAATGAGGTCCCCATCAGTACGCCTTGCTAGTACACAGCCTGAACACATTCTATGTGAATTCTCTTCTACCTGACTACAGCAGCAGTGTGACCAGCTTCCTGCCACCGCCTGCTGCAATGCCTTCCACTCCCCATGTGTCCTTTAAGAAGTGAGTCACAAATCCCCTTTCTCCATCAGGTGTTGATCATAGTCACAAAAAAAAATTGTAAAAGTTCCAAAATATATGGTATAGCGTACTTACACTGACTAATTTTTATTTCTTGTATTACATACTCGTTTGTTTACACCCCATGCTTCCAGCTAAGCAAATATACCACAAATCCAGGACTTGGTTTGTTTCATTATACAACAGAGGAGTCAGAAACAATATATATTCACTGAAAGAACTAGATGAATAAAAATTTCTCCTTTAGACAGCAAACTTTTGAGAGAAGGAACTGCATTTGCTTTTACTAGCATGCATCCAGAACCTAGCAAGTGGTATTAAGGAAACATAAATTTATTGAGTAAATAAACACTTTGAGAATATTTATCATATATCATAATCTGCAAAAATATTGATAGAGCTGAAAAAGTCTGTGGAAAATGAATTGACATAAATGTTTTTGTGCATGAAATTTATAGAAATGTGTCTCTTTGAAGATTGTAAAATTCCATCCTGAATTAAGACAAAAACAAAGAGACTGTATAATGAATCAAGATAATGGATTTGTTTTTCCATTCATTTGTACTTCAAAGATTTATATTTAAAAATTCTGGTCCATAAGTATAGAAGAAAAGGGTGCATTCATTCAAGCAGATTTTTTTAAAATCTTAAAAAAATATTTTACAGTCTCTCAAGTACTAGCAGAATTAAAATTTGTGGTGGCTTTTAAGAACCAATCAGCTTCTACTTTTAGTGATCGTCTATAGATCGGTTCACAGTGTAAGGTATTAAATTTTATCTTCTACGGTCAAATCTCATGTGCAATAAAGTTGCCTGTGTGTTCTCCAGGTTCCTTGTCTTTGTCTGTGCCCCGAGGTCCTGGCCACAGCTAGGATGCTGTTCTTCAGAGATCCAATCTAGAATGAAAAATGAATAGAAAGGAGACATAACAAACAGCCTAGAAATATCAAGTCCACCAGTGCAGCTGTAATAAGCAAATAACCCCAGGCTTCCTAATTGCTTTACAACTTCAGGGACACCTGCCAATTATAATTAAAGAATCAAAGACTAAATATTCCATAAATCTTATTAAGGTGCCATGGAAAACGTAAGTCAGCAGGAAACGTTAGTTACAGTCTCTCCCAAGAGCTCAATGAGCTCTCCCTGTCCAGGCCACTTAATATTACATACTAACCATAAATCCATACAAGTGTATTACCCAGTGTAAAAGGCAATAGCTCTTTGTCAACATATATTTTAATTCATGGTGTTAGAGATGCACTATATTTTAGGATGAATTATTATCTGATAAAAAGACTTTCTAATTTCACATTACTGTCCCACCCAGTATGATTCCTATAAAACTAACTCTCTGGGGGGAAAGTACATTCCTGAGAGCTGATATTTCTAAGGAAGGAAGGACAGGGGAAATTATTAATATTTTGTGCATTAATTTTTTTCATGCCTGCTGTGGTAATTTATGTTTCCTGACTATACCTTCATTTCTGTAACAAATTTGTGAGCAGAGCTCCACACCCTGAATTCCACAGCCCTACTGCCCTGAGAAGGCATGAATGCGGTTTTGCCCCACCACCTGCAGAAATCCCATTTCTTCTCTGGGCTGTTTGAATTGTACTTCTCTTGACACAGTCCTTTAAGAATGAACAGTCCTTTAAGAAATCCGGGGACAGGAGCTGGGGAGCTTTCTCAGGGAGTAGAGCAAACAAACATGAAGATAATAATTTGGATTCCCAGAACCCATGTAAATGAGATCAGCAGAAGCCACATGTACCAACATGGCTTCTTCAC